CACTGCCTCCCATGGCAGCGCACCCTGGCCGGCCGGCGTATCTGCTCTTGCTCGTCCTTATCCCACTGCCTCCGTGCTCCGTGCTGCGTCCCCGCACAGAGGGCTCGCAAGCCGGGTCCCCCCGCACGGCGAGGCACAGGTAGGCACACCGACACGGAGCCTTGTACACCTGGACGGGTACACCTACGGCGGCACCCAGGCCGTGCCGCGCTGGGGCTGACCGGCTTAGCGACACGCAGGTCTGGCTCACGGTGGAAGCTGCAGCTACGAACATGTCAAGTGTTTGTGTGTAGTACGGGTCTAAAAAAGTCACAGCTCTTTGTTCAGACTTCCAGTCAAAGATTAATTCACTCCAAGTAGGTAAAAGAGAGACTATCGCCATTTCTAGAAACATCACCTAAATTCTGTACTTGTTTCTCATAACTGCAACCAGCCTTTTTGTGGCACCACTACTGCTTTAAAATTTCAACAGTATAACCAATTCATCAGAGAGAAAACCAACATATTTACAAAGCCTGAATGTCTTAAAATGTTACTTAAAATCTCATCTTGATTTTATGTACTTAAAATCTGTAGCTTCTCACTACTCCTCCACAATGCAATACCTTATGAGGTTTTTAAACTTTTTCCTTTTTTAAGGATTTATTACTCAACATTAATCAGTGAGGTACAGTTCAAATTCATGACATTTTTTACCTTCATCAGTTCCCCACACACACCGTTTCATTTTAAGGCATCTGAACTTACCAACATTTTTAAGGCTGTGACATGCAAAAGCATGCAATCTCCACAAATTCTTCAGTACTACTACGATTTTTTATTATTATTTCATAAATGTCAGATAATCAATCTATGCCTTTGCATGCACTAAACAGTAAGAGGTGCTACAGCCACATGTATCTTACCCAACAGTAAATTCAAAATCAGCTGTGGTGCTCGCAGCCTTGTAGTTTCCCATATTCAACGTATTTATTGCCTTCTAATAATTTCTAGAATAATAATACCTGAGGGGTGTTTGTAGTGCTCTTCTTGCACTAGATTGGTGCATTGTGATTTTCCTGCACACTAAAATATCAAATACTTTGAAAATAAGATATTTTCAATGTTAGACCCAGGCTACTTTGAAGTTAAGGTTATTGTTGCCAAACCATTTCAACCCCCAAGGGTAGCAAATAAAAACGGCAACAGCTTTAAAGGAAAAACACTCCTCTTTGGAAAATAAATCTTCCTCTGACTTTGGACTTTCATTTTATTTCAAAGATCTTTCAGAATGAGAACTGGAAGGAAGAACTGGAAACAAAAGGGGGAACTTTACATACTGAAAAATTCATTTGCCCTAAACTCTATGTGCCTTTTTCCGTCTGACCTCCCTCAATACCTGCCCGTGCCAGCAGCCTGGCCAGCTGCCTGCACCAAAATACATACCCCAGACACAGTGTTCACTGCTTCCACAGTATTTTTGCTAAGCAATCTGGTTTTGATAAAGAATCATCTAAATTTTTAACTCTAAAGAAAGCAAAGCCATGACTAAAAATGAGGAAAGATTTAATTGCAAAAACAAATATTAAAAACAAACAATAATCCAGGCTATTAATTTACAGAAGCTCAGCACAATTTGCATCAGATCCTAGGAGAAGTAACAGCATTTTGACAGCTAAAAGCAGTATTACTGCTACAACATTTCTTATAAGGTGCAATTTCTTGAGTGAATCTGTGATGATTTTGCACTCTCTATTTCCCTTTTTCTGGTTTAATTTTATCATTCATTTGGCAATGGAGATTTTATGTAATTACAGGGTAACTGCTTTCAGGCATTTGAGTTATGGTGGCACACAGAAACCTAAGCAGGACTGGAGTCCTGTTAGAGTTACTATGTGAACCTATGGCACTTTAAAAAAAGCAGGTCTGTGAACAAGCTTTTGATTGGGATCACATATGGCTTTTCTAAGCAAAATGTAAGAATAAATAGATTTATCCCACTTTGGAGTATGGGAACTACTTAAAATTTGCAAGATACAAAATCTTCAAATTTACAGATGGCAATCTTAGCACAAGTTTCATGTGCTGTAAAGGATTTTTCTATGACTTTAATCAGGGCCTCTAGAACATGCAGCAGTGAGTTTTACCAAATTTCTATGCCAAGTCTGTGCTGCTATACAAATCAGGAGAGCAGGTAGTTCCTTTTTTTCAAGTATACTTATCAGAACTTTAAAGCACACTGTCTGCATAACTTCCTATGCCTCTGATGAAGCAACCCGTCAGAACTTCATGAGTTCAATTTACATCTTCCTATATGGCATTCTAAGTATCCTCCTCAAAACAAACCCATGTTACTCCTTTTGATACATACTTGATTTTCTCTATTTCCCCACCATTATTACTAGGCTTTTGAAAATGGATTTCAATCATGTCCTGCACACTTTCCTCATCATCTTCCATCTCTTTAATTCCTTTCAACAGAATGGTCTTCTTAGAAATCCCACAGTAGAGCTATTGAGGAAAGAAAAACAAACATGTATTACACATTAGCTGTTGCTTGTATATCGAAAGCTGAGAGATACTGGAAATAAACATATCTTTGATTAGGTATGGCTAGGATCTTTGATTACATTTTAAGACTTTGAACAGCGGGTTATATTCCTGTCACTTAAAACAGCAGGAGGACTCTCTGGTACGCTACTGAGTTCAATAGGCAATGCACCTGCCTCCTTAACTGGTGTGTCCTACACTCCTTAATGCACACACACACTGGATTTGGAGATCCCTAATGACTCTAGACAGCATTGCTCCATAAAAATCCATGCCAATACAGGATAAACAACTGCAAAGAATGCTGTTGCATCTCCTAAATGTGCACGCTCAAGTCAGTGCTTTAACTATAAAGGCCTGATGATATACAAAATACTGACTAGAAGGAAGGACGGAAGGACGGAAGGACGGAAGGAAGGAAGGAAAGAAGGAAGGAAGGAAGGAAGGACAGAAGGAAGGAAGGAAGGAAGGAAGGAGGGAAGGAAGGAAAAGAAAAAAAAAGAGCAAATGCTTCCTAGAACAAGAAGGTTATCTGCTGAGACTATCATCAAGGCGCTCCCGTTAGGGATGAGCATGACAGTGCTTTGTGACTGGAAGAACGTTGCTGTGCCTACTATTAACCTACTTCACAAATAATTCAGTATGTCTCCTGTCTAGCACAGACATTATGGTAAGTAATGATACAGTTTGATCAAGGAAGGACATGCACATCCGTTTAAAATTATAGCTTTCACACTGCAAAACGTAAGATTATTAGCAGAGCAACGTATTGCAGATTCACACTTGCTACTAAGTTTCATAAAGTGCATGACACAAAAGCCTCTGCAGTCCTCAGAACTGAAAATTCTGCCTATATCTTGCATTTCCCATGCATCTGTTTATTTAGGGTTAGCCTGGACTCAGTTCTTTTACCTGAAAGTTTTCCAGTTTTACACTGGTGTCTGGGGAAACAGGAAGCCTATACCACATTCCATTTACAACAAAAGGATATTCGGTACATCTCACAAAGCTGTTAGTTGCTGTAATGGAGAATGAGAAAAAGAGAAGTAAGAGTAATATAATCTAAAATGCATTTTTAAGAGCATCAAAGAACAGACTAATCTTTCGTATATGGATTTAGAAACCAATATATGATAGCACACTTGCAGATTCCTCATATGCATTTTGCAAAGTTTATGTGGCATTTCCAAAAAAGCAAAATCATTAAATACCCAAAAAATCTAAAGCAGCTGTTCTAAATGGATGTGGCTCCACTGATCTTCAAAGAATTTCATATAGTTGGGCAATCTGAATGCCTGTGTAACTTCATTGTCATTAAACAAGAGCTAAAATCAAACACATTTTCATGATTTTCTTTTTTTGTAATGTGTCCAGCAATGCAAGGAAAAAAGAGGGTTTTAACAAAGTTAAGAAAGAAATAAAGTTCACAAACTGTGTATCAGGTCACAGAATCATAGAATCAACTAGGTTGGAAGAGACCTTTAAGATCATAAAGTCCAACCTTTACCCCAGGACTGCCAAGTCCACCACTTAACCATGTCGCTAAGGGCCTCGTTTATATGGGGTTTTGAACACTTTCAGGGAGGGTGTTTGCACCAGTTCCCTAGGAAGCCTTTCAGTGAAAAAATTTTTCCTAATACCCAGTCTAAACCTCCCCTTGCACAGCTTGAGGCTGTTACTTGTTGTCCTATCACTTGTTACTTGGGAGAAGACATCAGCCACCTCCTTACTCCATCCTCATTTCAGGTAGTTGTAGAGAGTGGTAAGGTACCCCCTGAGCCTCCTCTTCTCCAGACTGAACAACCCCAGTCCCCTCAGCCATTCCTCATAAGACTTGTGTTCCAGACCCTTCACCAGCTTTGTCGTTCTTCTCTGGACCCACTCCAGCATCTCAGTATCTCTCTTGTAGTGAGGGGCCCTGGACTGAACACAGTATTCAAGGTGTGGCAATAGATCATATTTGATCAATAAAGAATATGATAAAACACTGCTTTATTTACAGATGTGTGAGTGAACCCACATGTTTTTCCTGATCTGCTTAACTCACTGTGGGAAGAATTTGCTACATTCAGTGGTTAAGTTAACTCAGAATATAATATAGAATAGAATGTAACACAGAATGGACAGTATGGCCTCTACATCTGGCCAACAACATATTATGTACTATACCTCCAGGTCTGAGGAATGTAATAACGGCTGTTCTAGACTGCTTGTCATAGTTCACGTTTTCAACTTCTCCTCCTCCCTGTTCAGGTTTGCAGAAATTCAGCTCTAATTTGTCTCTCATCCAGTCTTGAGGAATGGATAGTTCAGGTACTTCTGAAACATTAATCTTCTTTCCAGAAATAGTGACATGGAGCTAAAAAAATATTGGTTTTGTGCACTTTGTGACTGAAAACATGCAAAACCATAAACCTAAAGCTTAAGTACTGCAAGTTCCTATTTTTGTAGTTTCATATTTCAGTTGATTACCTTAAATTTGATTCCCATTTCAAGTGTAAAAGGCATCACTCTCATATCTGCTGTTTTGTTGTCCAGGTTCACAGTATGCTTACCAATTTTTATCAGTCCCTGGGCAACTAAGGAAAATCACAAGTTTTCAGATATTAAAAGCCTTGTTTAATCACTGTAAACTCAAAACTATTCCCCCGTCTCTTAAGCAAAATCCCGTTTCGCATCAATAACAGAGAAATAAATAACAGCAACCAGATCCCAATATCCATGTCTTCAGGATCATCTATTTGTGTTAAATCTCACTTGTTACAGGCAACAGGTAAAGTATTATACTATCTTTAGAGTGGTATAGAATGGTAAAATCTTTATGCTGTCAAAAGATACTCTCACTATAACAAATACGAATACTAGACTTCTCATATTTCATTTAAAATATCCTTGGATGAAAACCACATTGCTACGAGGTATGGAGAATGCCAATTAGCAATGTTAGAGTTTAGCTGTAAGAAGAGAATTGGACCCTAGCTTTTGTATCTGGAATATACTTGCATGCGTAACTGAGTTACCCACCACCAAACAGGCCCAGGCAGAGTGCCTGCAGGCTCCTTGCAGGCAGGCACTAGGCTGCCCAAACAACAAGCATCTTAGCAGGAAGCAGGCATGTTAGACTGCACCATCCCTCTGTTGTCTCAGATCTACCCATCATCTGCTGTGTTCACTTAACCAATGTAACTGCTGTCAGGGTAAGGTACTGACCAGAGTAAAGAAAACAAGCAAATTCTGCTGTCAAAACATTTTGAATCATTCTTGACAATACTCTGTCAAGTAGAAACATATTTCCAGTTTCAAACACCACGTATTGTTTGTATTAGCTAAAAGCAGAAATCTGGTAATCCAACAAAAACATGCAGAGTACTTGCAAGAATTTTTTTCTACTGATTGGTATCATAATAGTGAATGGTTTTCTGTGTATTCTTTCTTTGCCTGTTGTTGATTTTTTTTCCCCCCCAAAATGTTTATGTAAATCTTTTCCCTTTGACAATGAAATACATCAGAGACATTAATTTTATATTTAAAATATGCATCATACCTTCTTCATCTTCAAAAGTAAGCAGCACCTGGTTTTGATCCAGTCTGAATGGGATTTTTGTAGTTACATCAAAAACACAGTGAATATTCATATCTTGATAATCATCCTTCATGTCTTCCATGTGACTGAACTTCATTTTCATTTCTGCTACCTCTTTATTAATCTAATATTTTAGAATGAAGATAGGAAAAAATCATTTCTGTAATTTACTGCAGAACAGAAAAAGGAATGGTAGTTTTCCCTTGAAATGCTATACACATTTAATTTTTTAAAGTTTAACAGTCAAGCAGATTGAAGTAATGGCTGATAAAACAGGTATTCTAATTAAAGTAATTCTTCTAATTAAACTGACTAGTTGTACTTGTCTGTTCTTGAGATCTTGTCAATTAGGTGGGATTATTTTTTTTTCCCCCTTTGATTAACTTTGAGCTTAAAATTGAGTTTA